TGTATATATTCGTTAGGTGTCTTCCTCTTGGAATTTGCAAAGGACCCACCACCAAATTTGGATGCCTCAGCTGGGAACAGTAGTCTTAATTCTTGTAACATTAATATAACAGTAATAAATAGAAAATGTTACTCCAACATCTTTCCTGTTTTGTTACTTGAATGCCAAACGTTTGCCTATCGGAATAAAATTTGAAAATTTTTTTATATTTTTTAAAAAAGTTTAAATGAGTTTTTATTTATTTTATTAAGTTTTTATGTTTCTATTTTGAGTCATAAATTTTTATGATTGATAATTGATTTAATTCAAATGATATTTGTTATTCTATATTATGTGACATTAATACGTTATGCTAATATGTCACAATGAATAATAATATGATATGTTGATATAACATGATAATATGATTATATGATTTTTATATTTTTATATTAAAATTATATTAATGTCATGAGAGCATAAAATGATAAGTATTATTTTGATTAAATATAATTAATCAATTATTAGTTATAAAATTTATTACTTTTTTTGTATAAATTACTTGATTAATATAAAAAAATTAAAAATAAAAATATATTGATATGTTATAACGAATAATGATATGTTGATATGACAATATAACATGATTATATATTTTTTTATTTTTACATTAACATCATATTAATATTACTAGAACATAAAATGATAAGTATTATTTTAATTAAATATAAATAATTAATTATTAATTATAAAATTTATTATTTTTATTCGTATAAATTACTTAATTAATATAAAATAAAACTAAAGATGAAGATAAAAGAAATGAGAGTCCAATTAGGCTCAGCCCACCAGACAAATCTGGGTCTAGGATATACAAATAATTAATATAAAAAAGAATTAAAGATGAACACAAAGAAAAAAAGGTGAGAGTCCAATTGAACTCAACCCACTTGGCAATCTGGATCTAGGATGCACCGGCTCAGTATCCTTTCACTGTTGGTAGCGGGAGGTTTTCGCTGCTCTGTTAAACCAGCCTCACGCGGAGCCCTCCTCTCTAGGAACCAAGAAGCCCAAGCCTACGTTCGGGCCACATGGTTCAACTACCAGCTTGAAACGGTCAAACCAGAGAGTCGCATCCACGGATCCTGCCTTGCGGGCATAGTTATTGTCCAATCACCCGATGCCCCCGTTCGGGTGATAAGCTAGCGCAACCTAGCTCGGCGAGCAGGCACTGTTCTTCGTTCTGTTCTATAGTAGGCTTTCCACATGTAAGATGTCCATGTGGGATAAAGGGTTTTAGGCAATGCCGAGGAGACCAAAGGGGACTCCTTAACCAATGCTTCCCACTGACTCGGTTAATGAATAATTGGGCTCTTTAGACTCAGCAGGTTGCCTACTTAATGCTCATATTGATTTTGATTGTTGTTTTCAGAGCTGTGTGGGGGTTAAGAGTTCAAAACTATAGCTGTTTCCTCATGGAATAGACAGTATTTTGGGTGGCATCTCTCATTAAACTCTAGCAAGAACCATGTTTAATGACAGAAGAATTTCCTGAATGATATAGCAAAGTTGTTAGATGTTGCTTTGGAGAAAGAAAGGTCCCTTTTGCATAATCATGAGTGGTTTTCTTCGAAATTGATTTATAGCTTAATTCTAATGTATTTTGAAAAAATAAGTTTATCATGATATAAAATCAAGTATTATCTTATTTTTTTATCTTTTCATAATTCATATCATATGATAAATACGTTATTTTTACATAAAAAGCATTAAACTAGTAATAGAACAAATTTTACATTAATTAACCAAAGATAAATATTCATCTTTAAAATTCAACATATAAGAATTACAGCAAAATTAATATAAACCAAGCTCTATGAGCAGACGGCTATAATTCATTACTCCATAACTATAGTTTTAGGCTTTCAGCTTGTATGGGTAGAAGAAGGCTTCAAACTTTCTATTGCAGCTAAATATAAGCCTCAAAAGACTGTTTTAGACAATGGCCGAGAATAAAAAACGATGTTCTCTCACCATTCATTTGCGAAAGAGAATGAACAAAGCTTTACAACCCACAACTTTGGACAATGAGTTATATATGGAAAACTTCAACAACCCCCTGTGTTTCGTCGGGCTCTCTCTACCTCACAGCTTGTTAACAGAAAATAACGGTTTTTTAAATGGTTCATGTTGTCGGGTTCCCTCCCTGTCGCCTTGTATATATATATACCTCATTCCACCATAGCTTCCCAAACCAGAGCCCAAGGGGCAAGAGCTAATAATAAAGGAGCCCCAACAGCTCTGTAAGGTTTTCATTTCTTTTGTATATCAAAGGAAAAAAAAAAATCAGATAAGGAAAAACTTCAGTTGTTTGAAGATGGGAAAGAAGGTTGCTATCATCAGCGTTTGCTCTGTGTTCCTGGTGGCCATGGTAGTTGCTGTGGCAGTTGGTGTTAGCCGCAGCCACAGTGGAAGCGGTAACGGTGGTGGTGCAACTCCTACAGGTGAGATATCGACTTCTACCAAGGCGATCAAAGCCATTTGCCAACCCACTGATTACAGAGAAACATGTGAGAAAAGCCTCTCATCTGCCAACACCACTGATCCCAAGCAGCTTATCAAGATTGGCTTCCAAGCCGCTATCTCTGAGATTGAGAAAGTAATCGCCAACTCATCCACCGTGAAAGAGGCAGCCAAGGACCCAATGGCCCGTCAGGCTCTTGAGAATTGCCATGAGCTCATGGACTATGCCATTGATGATCTTAAGAACTCTTTCAATCAACTGGGGGAATTCGACTACAGCAAACTCGATGAGTACGTCGAAAACCTCAAGATTTGGCTCGGTGGTGCCATCACATACCAACAAACTTGCTTGGATGGATTCATCAACACAACCGGTGAAGCCGGAAAAAAGATGCAGGCGCTTTTGAAGACTTCTCAGGAGCTCACTAGCAATGGTTTGGCCATGGTTTCTGAGATTTCTTCAATCCTCGGCAACCTCAACATTCAAAACATCGGCGAAATCAGCACTGGCCAACGTAGGCTCTTTGCTGAGAATGGTTTCCCTATGTGGGTCAGCTCAGAGAAGCGCTCCCGCATTCGGCAAACTCCTGCAACTATTAAGCCTAATGTTGTCGTTGCCAAAGACGGAAGCGGCAAATACACCAGCATCAACGAGGCCCTGCAAGAGGTCCCCAAGAACAATCCCACCACATTTGTCATCTACATTAAGGCTGGAGTTTACAAGGAGCAAGTGATCGTCACCAAGAGCATGACCAATGTTATGTTCATTGGAGATGGCCCCACCAAGACCAAGATCACCGGTGACTTGAACTACGTTGATGGAACTGGCACATTCAGGACTGCAACAGTTGGTAATTACAGTACTGCTTTGATATAATTTTCAGTAAATATTTCCCCACGTACGAAACCAGGATATAATAATGTGTTTGCTTTTCGAATCTTTGCAGGTGTGGTCGGTGATGGATTCATAGCCAAGGACATTGGCTTCGAGAACTCTGCTGGAGCAATCAAGCACCAAGCTGTAGCACTACGTGTGCAGAGCGATCAATCCATCTTCTACAACTGCCAGATGGATGGTTACCAAGACACCCTCTACGCCCACAGCCACCGTCAATTCTACAGGGACTGCACCATCTCTGGAACCATTGACTTCATCTTCGGCGATTCCTCTTCCGTCTTGCAGAACTGCAAAATCATCGTCAGGAAGCCACTGGAGAACCAACAATGCATCGTCACCGCCCAAGGAAGGATCGAACGTCGTGAGATCTCCGCCCTTGTTCTCCAGAACTGCACCATCTCTGGCGACCCAGAGTACCTCCCTGTGAAGGACAAGAACAAGGCATACCTCGGCCGCCCATGGAAGGAGTTCTCCAGGACCCTCATCATGCAATCTCAGATCGATGACATCATTGCTCCAGAGGGATGGTTGCCCTGGAACGGTGACTTCGCTCTCAACACTTTATGGTACGCTGAGTTCGGCAACAGGGGCCCTGGTGCAGTTCAGACCCAAAGGGTTACCTGGAGGGGCATCAAGAAGATCAATGCACGTATAGCTCGGAGGTTCACCCCTGGCGAGTTCTTGCGCGGTGACGACTGGATCCCCAAGGCCGGTGTTCCTTACACTCCTGGCTTGATTCGTGGACTGTAGACAAAAATCAAAACATGGAGATGATGAACAGCTTATAGTAATTAGTGTTACAATTTATTTATATATATATATAAATTCTCCACATTGTATTGTTTTCTAATGCCCTGTCAAATTTTAGATTACCCCTTGGGCACTAATGATTAAATAAATTGGCAAAACCCAAAATCAAAGAAAAAAAAAAACAAAACAAAACATAAAAAGTTTGATCATGAGATCAATATCATTTGCTGTTTTCCTATAGAGATTTTCTTTTTTTTGGCAATTTGAGCTGTGACTTTTGAATTTCAATTCTCTTTTGTCAATAATAATTGTGACAAAAATTCCAGTGTACTTAGAAAACTACTCTTCCAACTTTTCCCTTCAGTAATTAAAGATTTAACTTATTCAAAAGAAGCAAAGGAACCTATTACAAGGGGAACATAATTGCAGGGCCATGATCCTTGTGTTTAAATGTTTGTCTTTCCTTAATTTCTACAAAATTGAAAATAAAATTTTGATTTTTTTATACATTTTATATTAAAATTTGAATTTTTTTATAAATATAAGTATTTAATTATTTTTATATTAAAAATAAAAAATTACAAAAAATAATTTATATAAAAAAATTTTAAGAAGGAAAAAATAATTCATTTTAAATAATCTAGAAAAAAAAGGGGTTAAGGAAAAGGACCGATGAAATATGATATTCTTAAATGTATAATTGGGCTTAAAAAGAAAGTAAAAACCCCCGAATGGCCCATGCTCCCCAAAATGGGCCAAAAAGCCCAACTATATAACAACCCAGCCCAATGCTTCTTCTCGTCAAACAAACAGTCCAGCATTCGTCGAGCAAGCGGGAAAATTGCCCGTCGAAAGTTTTTGAAATATCTCTCTCTCTTCGCCATATCCACCGGCCTTTGCTGCAGAAGGAAACCCCAAGGTTCCTCATTTTCCCTCAATTTCCAAAATTTTCTCAGGAAACAAACAGTAAAAAACCCCCAATTTGCACCACCCCAAAACCCTAGGTCTGCCAATGAATTCGAGTGACCAGCAACAACGAAATAACGCGAAGCTAAACCCTAACTACGGAAGAAGAAGATGACTAGCAACCAAAACGACGGAGATTCAGGAGGTGGTGAGTTGGGAAAGGTCCACAGGGTCCAGCCGGAGCGTGACTTGGAAGCCAATTGGGAAGTCGATCTCGCCAAAAAACTTGAAGAGTATCTCTTGAAGATTTGCTCCGGTGAAATTACTGGCTCCCAAAGCGATGACGGATATAGCTCCGTGAATTTCGCTGAAGGTTCTTCCTTAATTTCCAATTTACACCCCAAAGAAAAAAAGAAACCTTTTTTTTTTTTTGGTTCTCATGTGGTTTTTAATTAATTTATATATGTATTTTTTTTTCTGCTGTAGCTGCGTTGCTGCTTCAGGGTTCGGTTCAAGTGTATAGCCGGAAAGTAGAGTATCTATACAACTTGGTTTTGCATGCTTTGGAGTTTCTTTCTCAGAAGAGGTTCTTTGTTTTTCATCTTTTAAGAATTTTTCTCCTTTATTTTGTTTTCGGTGTTATTTGGATATTGTTGTATTCCATGTGAATAAGGATTGATGCTCAATATGAAGCATTGTAATTGCATTCACTAAAAAAAATGTTAGAAGAGGAATTATCAAAAGGTCTCTCGGGTTAACCTGTTATAAATGGTACATGCCATTTGAAACAGGCAGCAGGATCAACCGGAAGGCGCATCAGTCGATCCTGAACAAGTTGCTTCTAAGGCTTCTTCAGATGAAGACAATGATCAATTTTGGGGCTTAGATGACATCCCAGGTACCCTTAAACTGCTAACCTCTCTTTTCCTTTTTTTTTTCTTTTCATTTGGTTGAAATTTAACTGCTAGTATCAGCTGAAATGAGCTTATATTTGCAGTGGAAGCAAAGATTTACTTAGATAGTTCAGCCAACAAAGACACTTTGTTGAATCACTTTGTCAAGCCCCCTGCAAATTTAGTTGTTCTTGAAGGTGATTGCTTGGACACTTCTGGTGATGGCAGCGAATTAGAGTCCTATCTGGTATTACAGTTGCTTCACTCTATAGTATGATGAAGTTTGACCAACTTTGCAGCCTAACTCTTTGATTGATTTTTTTGTGGTTGTAGTTGGCAACAAATGATCTCTACCAGGATTTTATTCTATTAGATCCTTGTGATGCAGTAGCGGTTGACAATTATTTGAAGGGTAATGAAGCTGGTAAAGAAGAATATGGCATTTATAGGGGTAGTTCAAGGCGCAAGAGCTTTCAGTCTCCCACACGACGTTCAGGGGGGACTGCACATAAATCATATCTTGGAAAAAACAAGAATGCTAATGTTAATCAATCTCCTAGGGTTGATTGCGACTTTGGTGTTAATGACTGTAATACGGGGCCTGATCCTCCTGACGATGATAATTTTGGAAATGTAGATCATGGATTTGATATGGATGATAGGTATTCAGAACCTAGAGACTTACATGATTCAGATGATGATGATAGTGATCCATGGAAACCTCTGAATCCCCATGAACCAGGAAACTTGAAAGTGAGGCCTTTCAAAAAGGGTAATTAAAATTTTGTATCTCCTGCCTGCTTGTTCTACCTATATAATTTAGTTCAGTACTTAATATTGGGCTTCTTTTGATTTTTCTTCACAAGCAGTAAAAGCTTCCAAAAGGATTGGGGTAAATTCTACGAAGATTATTCCTATAACTACTCTGTTTCCACTAGCTAGATTGCATGGTCCCATTAGTCCAGAACTAACAGAGATGTGGGAGAGGTGGCAGAGTGCCTTTGAAAGACAGAGGGAGTCTACGTCTCCTCCATTATATGAAAAGGTATATTTACTGAAAGTTGTGCTTTGGTGAGCCTGATGCATGGTTGGTTGTGAAACATGTTTGCTTATTTCAGCTTCGGCAATCACTATCTGGTCGGGGAAGTGGAGCTGCTGATGCTTTTGCTAATTTGGAAGACGGCAATGAAGACAGTGGATATCATGGTGAGAATGCTGATTTTGGTGGACCAGATTTTGATGTGCCAGAGAATATGTCTATGGATGAAGAATTACCTTTTCACAATGAGAAGGTTAGCATATCAGTGTGTGATCGTATATGATATTTACCCACTAGAAAGTATGAGATTTTCTGTTGTTGCTCATTCATTGCTCTTTCATAGCATGAGGATTTCGGAACCAATGAAATGTTTGACCATGGCGATCCATATTCTCAAGCAAGCCTGGAAGATCTCTGTCGCTCTCACCTAGTAAGCATACTTTCTCTTTACATTTAAACAAGCAAACAGTGGTAAGCCTTTTCCCACTGTGTGTGGTGGAACATGGATCCTATGATGCCATTCTGCACTGTTGAGGACCATATTTTTTGGTTTTACCTTTGAGATGAAGAATTATCTTAAAAGAAGAGAAAGGAAATGTTATATGTGTTCCTTGTTGTCTAAGAAGGTACTTAATATATTTGTTCTGCTAACCTACATCTATTTTCTCTTTCAAAAGTAAAAAAGAAAGAAAACAGCCTTATTTGTTGTATTCTAGTCACTGGATTAGCCCATCAAGAAGTTGTGACTGGTTTAGAGAATAAAGATGCTTGATTATCTGTAATATATGTTTTAGCGTTATCTGGAATTTTGCCTTGCATGCATTTATATTTGGTTTATCCGTTTCCTCTTCCATCTCATTTGTTGAAAGCAGTGAATAGAAACTGCAGCAAGTTAGACAAAGCCTGGCACCATAAACTTGCAGTGAACTATTCTTTGTTGCCAGATTGTTGCTTTATGTATTACACGTATTTTGTCATGCAGGATGCTCTCCTTGCCAGCATTGCTGAAAACGAGAAGCAAACTGAATTGGCTGCTCGAGTCTCATCATGGAAGCAGAAAATTGAGCATAACTTGGAAGAGCAGGTAAATTAAAGTAGCTTCAATTCCTTTTCTTAAATTCATTTTTGGTTTTGCATTATTATAACCACTAATCTTTTGTCACTATTATTGCTCTTCTAAGTTTGTGCTTTTTTGTGGCAGTTTAGACTAAGGATAGCTTTTGTTTTTAATAGGATTCACATCCTCCATTTGATATTCATGAGTATGGTGAAAGAATTCTTGACAAACTATCACTTGAAGCTGACAATGGAAATGTCATGCCATTCACTGATGTTGTTAAGGGCCAAGAAAAACATGATGTTGCTCGATCCTTTTCTGCACTTCTCCAATTGGTATTATGTTTTTCTCATTTTTAAGTAGATTTCAAGGCTCATTTTTCTCTAGCTAGAAGTAGTTTAGCTAAATTTTGTAGTAATTTTCCAACACAAAACTTCATTATGCTTTCCTATTGTTCAAAAGAAAAAACAAGAAGTCTTGTGCTCTTGTTCTGTATACAGTTCAATATCTTAAAGGAATTAGCTCGAGAAGTTATCCCAAATGGAGGCACTTATCATTACTTGTGCATTAACAAGGCTACTGTTAACATTTTTTCATGCAGGTGAATAATGGAGATGTTGATTTAGATAGAAGTGGAGTTCATAGTGAGTCTGTCTGTTATTCGGCTGTAAACCCATTCCATGTCCAGCTCCTAAAGCATGACAAGAGAAGGGTGGAAACTCAATTTCGAATGTCCAAAAAGAGAGGTAAATCACCCTTGAGAAAAGAACCTTCAAAGGGTGACTGGAATAAATCTTCACCAGAGAAATCTCCATCTGTCAAGTTAGATTCAGATTACGGATCAACAAAATTGTCATCACAACCAAATTGCAAACTTTCTGTGAAGCTTGGGCAGTTTGGTGGTGTAAGGTGCACTCCTGAAGCCAAGAGGAGACGAAGTTCTCGTTTAGTTGAACCTGTCGACTTGCACTCTGCAGGGTGACACAAACATCAAATAGAAGTTAGGCCAGTCTGCAGCTGAATAGCTCAGAACACTTCACCATTGTTTTAGATTATTTTGACAATGTTTAGCTATCAAATTGTATAACCGGTGTAACTTATTCCTAGGATGTACTTAATCAGTCACAATGTCTTGTAATAACATACTATCACTAATTTTCCATGTAGATCTTGGTTTTCGGCTATGTAATAACATCAACCTGCTTCTTTCTAATTATCCAAGATAGCAAGAAGGATGCTTGTTTTAGATTTCTTCTTAGTACACATTCCAGTTTGTAATGTAAAGTAATCTTTAGCCACTGGCTAGCGGTTTCCATTCTTCCAAAGAACTTCTTATTGATTTATACTGATCAATGTTCTGGTGAAATTGTTGCATCTTTCTTTGAACTAAGGATGTGTCATTCATTTGGGATGGACCTGGCCCATATGATAAACCCAACCTAAACTAGGGTTGCTATGTGGGATAGGGTAAGTTTTTATATGGGTCTGAACTACTCTTGAAAAGTGTATGAAATTCTCGTGACGGGGATCCATAGGGTATCTCCTGGCCCGAATGGAGTTATTTTAGATTTTTCGGAGGCTCCGAACACAAAGAGAAGATCTAATGGAAATTTTATGACCTAGTAAAGGTGACACAGATTATAAAAATATCTTTAAATGTGAATGTTAACTTTGAATTAAGAATATTTCAATAATTTCTGCAAAGTCAAGCCAATGAAGTCTGCCAAGTTTATGCTAAAAATTCCACATCCCAACATGCCTCAATCATATGCCAAAGACCAACAACTACATTGATCAAGAGAAAACATACGTATTCATTGAATTAAAAAATGTCTTTGATAAACCAATAATTACGTGGAAGAGAGGTCATGTCTCCCTCCCATGTGATAATGTGACCATGGCTATTTCAACCAACCAAGAAACCCACAAGTTTTCTATGCTGAAAATTGTAAGTAAATACTTGACAGAAACCACTTGACGTGGCTGGCTTTTCCATCAACTGCGTGTCTACGGCTCTAATTTTCTATTTGCTTTCCATTGGAAAAATGAAAGGCTTTCCCACCTGAAAGGCTAAAACCCTCTAACATAAACCAATGGCTCCCCAGCTCATGTCACATCTTGGGTTTGGACTTTGTGCCGATAACTTGCCATACCAGAGTAAGAAAGAGAGACATGGCGTGCTCACGGAGTTGGAAAAAAAGGATCCATCCATGATCCATGGATCTGGGTATTCTTCACTTAACCCACCAGTGAAAGTTAAACCGATCTTATGAGCTAAACTTCACAGGTGGTCAACCCTTTTTTGTCTCTTACTGGGATGTCTGAGACCTTGGAAATTCGGACCAAGTCAAAACGAAATTCCCCAAAAGCATGTCTGCTGCTGTCCACCGTCTTCAGAGCCTGAATTCTCTACAAAGCCCTTTGTCCTGTCCATTATTTTACGTTTCCATTGGATCCCGATTAGGCTTTGGAAGAGACAAATATGTACTTAATCATGTGCAGAAAGTGGAAACCGCGTGGGGAAACAGGAGTGAGAAGTGGAGAGGTTGTGGAGTGGAGGGGTTGAGCTTTTAGGTTTCAGCTTTTAACCATTGCAGATGCTGGGAAAGGGTAGGAGAGGGGTCCCCTGGCATGAATTTTCCTGCTCCCCTTCATTATGCCCGGTTAAGAAGTTAGGCAGAAGCCTGAAACACAGTCATTTAAAACAATTCAGAAGGATGTTAATGGCATAACCTGACCAAGGCTGCTTGCAATAATTTTACATAATTATCAAAGAGATGGCGGCTTTTATGGAAGGCAAGCTGACAAATGGTTTTCCAGGAAGGTGAGATAATCCCCAATAAACAAAAATGACTCAAAACAACAGGAATCAGAAGATGCAAATGTGGGTTGGCTTCTGCAGGTTAGGTTGGGTCAAATGGAGACATCTTTAGCGGCGCCACCACTAACTGATAATATTAAAATAACAATACTAATGTGTAATTAGTGATCAGATCTGGAGAAAAATAACGATTTCCTGATAAAATGATATTAGAGTTCAGATATACCCTTAAACACTCAAACGGATAAAGTAAGCCAGATAAATGACAAACTCAAGTATTCACTAATTAAATGAGATCTTGAACTTATAATCCTTAATGAATTGATAAGGAAATTAATAAGGGTAGAAATGATAAAATCAAAGAAATCCGATTCTATCGGTTCATGAAAGCTTAGGATTTGATTAATTGGGGTACGGGATAAGGTTAACAGAAAAAGCAAGAAAGAAAAAAATAAAATCAAAGACAGTCTAATGTTGACTTCAAACTGGTGGCTCAAATGGGCATACTACTTTGACTGGCAAAACCTTGTTCTTTGTCTTTGCCGTCGGCTTTCAAAAATATCTAACGATTCTAATATTAACTAGATTCATATTTATTAATATTTACTATGGAAAATTATCTTAGAATATAATTAAGATAAATCTTAAAGAAATTAAGCAAACAGTAAAATACAAAAGATATCTCAAATTTAATATATTTTTTTTCCGGGAAGGATGTTAAAAAAAGAAGAACAAATTAATTTAATCAGAGAAATCTATACACAGATTTTTACGATCAAATATTCACGCTCATCAACGTCAAATCTGCCACGTGTACATCAGTTGAGTCCAATAACGTCGAGGCTCGTGGATTCTGTCCCCCACGTCCTCGAATGAATGTCTTTTCACTTCGATAAGGTGAATCGGCCACCAGGATACGACTTTGTCTCACTGAGTGACACATCCCCGGAGTCAGCCCTGAGTTTGCCGTGTCTCCTCCCCGCCTCGCTCGATGTCCGACTCGGGCACAGTTATTGATCCACAACTCCCCGCGTTCATCGGCGAAGGACAAGGACTCGTTCCACTCCCTCTCCTATCTCTACTCAATATCCTCGTAAACGACAACATTCGACTCATCGGGGATTTATAAGACTGACTCGGCCCTGAGTCACAACCACTTGACTCACCTTCGAAACCTGCGGTGTTCCTTCTGGGAACCTCTATCGACAACTTCCTCCCAGCACCGACGGCCGATGTACCCGGCTGCCCCTCCTCGTGCCGACACGCGGAACACAATTCTGAGCTCTGATTTGATCCCGATTCTCCCCCCGACGGCTCATTAATCGTTAAAACTAAATCTCCCGGGTTGTCAGATACGGGTACGGACTCCTCAACGGGGGTCCGACAAAGGGGACACGTGGAGTGAGAGTGAAACCACATATCTATACACTCTAAATGGAAACTATGGTTGCACTGGGGCAAGACCCGACCCGATTCGTTTTCTTCGAATTCGGACAAACAAACGGCGCACTCGAGCGCGGAGTCGGGTGCGTCTTGGAGGAGAAAGTGAAAACCGGTAGCGACTTGAGCACACGCGCATCGAGACCGCGCGAGGCGGCGGGTACAGCATTAGCGTCGGGGTCAACGTAGAAGACAAGCTGCGTTCTCCGCGAATGGCGGCGAGGGTTACGGGAATGGCGGCGGCGGGCGCGGAGAAGGTACCAGCGGGCGTAGAGATGGAGGGTGAACATGAGGATTACCACGAAGAACAAAACGACGATTGCGCTGAGCATGATCTTGCCGCTCAAGGCATAGCTGCTGCTTGTTTCGGTCGGGACCCTGAATCTTTCTTGGTTTTCGCTCATAGCTTAAGGTGTTTTTTTCCAAGCTACGAGAGGCGGGCCTTTTGCTTTCTCTGTTTGGCTTGAGAGGGTTTTAGTGAAGGAAATTGTTAATTGGGATGACTACAAGGGAGGGAAGGAAAGTTCTTGAGGGTTTCTTAAGTAAGAGTTTGGAGTTGGTGTTTGAGTTTCCTTGCACCTGCTTCCTGGTCCTTCTTCAGTCTGACGGACGCCACGGTTGACGCGGGATTCTGTTAAATTGACTCTAGTGCCCTTTGCCCTTTCTCAGTACTGCTTTTGTTTATCCTTAATGGATATCAGTCTTGGCCCATTCTGGATTTGGGCTCAAATCGTCAAAGGGTCCAATTCATCTTTATTATAGCAATTAATCTTAGAGTCTTTTTTTAACCGAAAAATGACTGAGGGAAAAAAATTTTCTAAATAAAATATTTTATAAAAAAATTAATATTTTTTATTATTTGAATAAACCGTTAAAAATATTATTTTTTGTTTGTATCATTTTATGAAAAATATTTTTCACTATGGTGAAGTTATTTAAGTGTTGAAATAATAAATAATAGTTGATTAGAAAAAAATATTGATATTTGATTTTCACTAATTTGAGATCAAAATTAAGAATGAAAATAAAAATGAACAAAATCGATAGTGATATTTCTCAAAGCATTTAACTGCATATTTGTAATGAGAATAAATTTTAAAATTTTTTTCATCTTATCACTTTTTTTATCATAACTATTAAAATATAAATATTGATCGATTGTGTAAGATATCCAAAACTTACATTTATAAATATGTATTCATTAAATGATGATTATTAAAATATTTTTTATTATAATTATTTGTAAGATTTAAACATATTATAAATGTGCATTCATCAAATGATGATCATTGAAATATTATTTATTACAATTACTAGTAAGATTCATTCTATTTATAAATAAAAATTTTAATTGTACTGAATGGTTTCATTAAAAAAATATTTTTAAAATTTTAATTGTGTTGTATAATTTAAACACTAATATATTCAATTAATTTTTAAAGTTAAATATTAAAAATTTTGTTTTTTTAATATTGTAACTTAAATATCAAAATTCATCAAACTTATACTTTTAAACTTGATATAAAAATTCTTTTTGTTGTTCTTTGAGCATAAGATATTTTTCATGATTAATCCTATTGACTCGTAAAATGTTTTACATTTAGAATTAATTTTTCATTTTCCAAACAAGCATAAGTTTTAAAAACGTTTTTCAAAAAATATTTTACTACAAAACAAACGAACTCTTAATTGAAAAGTTAAATATACGACAATGGATCTCATATCAGTAGAAATGATATGAATCTTATAAGGATCTTTCATTAAGTTTATATGTATATTTTTTAAGTTAGAAAAATAGACCCATAATAAGTAATATCAAAATTTATTTAATTCTTCATTGACATAAGGTCTTCTATAAGAGAAATTAAGGGGGAAATAAGTTCAGATTATAATAGATCTTTCTTTTCTATAAGCGAAAAAAATTATTGGAACTATGGTGTTGTATGATTGAGTGCACATCAGTAAAAACAAGGTAAATTTTGAACTAACAGATGTATCTTGGAGTGAGAACATGAGCAGGATACATCATGCTTAGGACAAATTTTGCTATTTTTATGGAAGGATAGTTTTGTCCTTCCCAATTGCTGCAAGGAAAAAAGTTTGGGGCATTATTCATCAATGGAAGCAGAGAATCATATTTATGTTGAGGTTAGGATATATTCGTTTTTTCTGACAAGATATAACATTCTTTTTAAGTTATTAATAATTTATGTGTAGTTGGCTTTTTGCATCAGGACCTTACTCAGCTGACACTGAGAGGGTGAGAGATAAATGGCTAATCCAGCCAAACGTCTGACAGTGACAGTGTCTGGGTTCAAAACAAGCTTAAATGGAAAAAGGAAAGGCTTGGTTGGGCCTTGGGCCTGCAGAACTTTGTTGATCATTGAATCCAGATTGCTTGGGTTGGAGACCTTTGGAAAGTTACAACATTATATCATTAAAAATCACCCATGCAAATTAGTGGGATTTCTTTGTTTTAGAGCTGTTTCTTTGAATGTCATGGATTCTCTTGCTCCTGCTGCTGTGCTGCAAGCAAAATTTGCTTCCTCTTCTTCGTACCCGTGATGTATCAGTATCATAATTAAAAAACAAATAGCAAACCATAAGGAAATTCACGTGATGCTCATGCCCCATTCTCATTTATCAAGAATTCAAGATGTTTCACACATAATGCTTCGTATGTAATAAAGCAGACTAATAGTCAAAGTTTCAGGTCTCTTCATTATAGAAAGAAGCCTCTCTCTCTCTCTCTCTCTAACTAGATTAGATTCCAAGGGACAGCACCTTATGTAGCAGACAATGCACAAAAAACAAATTTGGGGTGAAACTGAAGCTGCAATGGGATGGAATGGCTAAGATGATGGCAAGATTCATCAATATCTAGGTGACTGTTAGTATATCTGAGTTTGCATTTTCCGAGGATTAGATTATTATAAGGATCATCAGATCAAGCATGCAAATTAATTATTCAAAAAATACCAGGTAGAATTGGGATTTGAGTGCAAAAAGCTGATCATTTGCAGATTGTCTTGAGCAGTTATTAGATGCAGATTTTACCCAGTGTGTTCAGTGTTGCAACATGAAGGATTTGATGGGTTCAGGTTCTTTCCATGTGCTTCTTCTGTTCTCAATGAACTGTTGCTCATTTTAACAGGAATGAGTTAAGAATAAGTGGCAAACGTCAATGCTTATAATATGATTGTAATGAATAAAGAGAAAGATACTGCCCCCATTCCTTCATTTGTTTGTCCTTCTAGTATTGAAAGAGGTTCATGATTTAAGGTATATTCTTTCTAGTTCCTTTCAGGTTTTGCAATGTTTCCCAAAAGTCTAAACAGCTTTTGAAATTTGGGGTTTTCTTGTTGAAGGTGAGGGGGTAAGTAACTACTTTGATTAAGTGAAATTGTTCTTTTGTTTCATGGGAAAAAGCTCAAGAAAAGTTAGAAAACAAGAAACAGGAAAGCTAGTTTGATCCCAATGATTACAAGTAAGGGTAAAATGGGGCTGAAAGAGTTCTCTTTCGTTCTGTTAGAATTTAGAATTAAGAAACAAGACAAAAGATATTTTTCTAAGAGGAGACAGAACAGGAAAAAAACAAGAAGATATAGTTGCATATCCAAACTGACAAAATTTTAAAAAAATTCCCTGGGCTGCAATCTATGTTACAAGCTACAAATTTCAAAAACACAGATCTTATCTTGAATCAACTTTGAAAACAATTTCATGGTGAAATCAATGAAGAAAACAAAACAAAGAGCCAAGCTTGGGGGTTCTATCCATAATCCATGGCACATGGGGGGCTGACTGTGACTAGGGGCTCTCCTCGTTGTAAACTACTAGTAACTGTCCATCAACCTACTGTTACTAATTTTCCTACCGTCCTGCGAGGGAATGAGATAAAATAAAGTAAATTGTTAGTTAAATAGATAGTGGTGCCATTGGAAATCTAAAAAAGATGTTAACTTGGCATTTACTATGGTTTGCCACTTCCCAACGGCCATTCCCACCTTGAGCCCCCAAAGCTCTCCCCTTTTCCTTCACTTTCCCATCTCCTTATTTTGTCTTTCAAAAGTTCTATTTACACGAATTCCCTTTTCCCTCTCTGAGGGAGAAAACAGTTTCTAGTTAGCGAATTCTGTAACCAGAGAGAAAAGAGAGAATTTTCAGCAACAATGTCAAACAAGTCCCCAATCTTTCCAATGCCTGAGCCTCAGCACTTCAGTGACTATGGCTTTGACCCCCAAATCGACTATTTTCAGGTTTGTTATTCTTTAAAAACTCTCTTTTGTTCCCCTGTTAAGTTCTTTACTTACCCTTTGCTTGTTGCTGCCTAAAAAACCAGGTTTTGGAAGAAGCAAGGAAGCACAAGAGGGAAACATCAAGATCCATAGACTCTCTACATTTCAAGCTCCAAAAACCCATCTCGAAAGACGAGCATTCCAAGAAAACCCACAAGGCTAAAAAGAAGAAACGTTGGTGGAAAAATGCCCTGCTGTTCTTCAAGTGGAAGAAATGGACTCCACATGGCAAGAACCACCGTGACAATCTTGATCTAGATCTTGATCTTGAACCTGATGTCCATCGTGCAAGGGCTAGAGCTTTCAGGGCTTCAATTTCAGGACCTGTTTACATAACCGAGAGCAGGAGCGGTTCCAGCACTCCTTGCAGAACCACGAGCCGCCCATCTTCGGGTCCCTTGGCTGGAACTTTGACTCCTACAAGAAAAGGAGACGTGGCAATTCCTTATCTGAGTCTCAGGGAACTGAACATGGAGCAGCACCGCAGGGTTTCTACCTCTGCCATGCCCATATATTTGGTCACTTAACCAATCCAAGCTTTCTCTTGTTCTCTTTCAACCCATCTTTTTTCGGGTGAAGCTGGTTTTTTTCTGACCTATATATGTAATATGCCTAGCTTTGTTCTTGCGGGGCTTTGTTATCTTTTCGGGTTTGGCCCCACATTTCATTCGGGTTGTGCAAAGTGCAAGCTGCAAAGCAAAGTGGAGGGGAGGATATGCCTTCATCCTCCATTGCTCCTTTATTGATTTCTGCAAAGTAATGAACTCGTGCTTTGACTAAGACTCCTCATCTTTTTTCTTCTCCACTTTTACATTTTACTCATTTCATTGGAGTTAATTATTAGTATTGCTTCCATGCACAGAAACCAAAGAACCCTTTAGTTTAATCTTTTTACCAAGATGCTGCTTGATGGGTTAAGGTTAATCGTTCCCTTGAACAACGGCCTCTTTGGCCGTTGAAGTGTGAACATGAAAGATCCCCTTCGTATCCTTGGCGTAGTCTTTTGCTAGATTCGTTCTTCTTTTTCTATACACTTTTTAGATCAAGTGCAACCATTTGTCACTCGCAATGCCTGCTGATATTTTGTGGGTCATCGGATCGGTTTTCGGGACCATGTGATTTAGTCAATGTAGGACCCTCATCAAGATTCGAGGGAATGCTACGACCATGGCAAACGTTTGCTAGCGGCAGATGAGATCTGCTTGATTCTGTGGGTAACTCCTGGGGCCTAAATTGTCACAATGTTGTTAACGGCTATCTAACGAGAAAAGAAAAACAGTAAAACTTGAAAATATAGGTCGGCAAGCAAGCAGTCAAAGGAAGAGCAAGCGTTTGGGGTTCACAAGGCGAATCTATACATTTCACTAGATTAGATTAATCTTTTAAGAAGGGGGTAATATTTTGTAACAAGTGATAAAGTCAAACCATATTGGCAGGCCAAGTACTCCGGTGGATGAAGTAGAAAGGATGACCTATCTCCGAATGAGAGCATCCCAGATTGGAGTGGAAGGGAAATTATTGCATTAATAAACGTAAGGGTGATGTATAAATGTGAGAGCTGCATAACGGGGTAATATCTTGGTAACAATGTGAGCACAAGCAGCAACTTGACAAAGAGGCTTCATGGTCTGTTCAAAAGTTTGATCAATCTATTGCACAAGACTCCAAAATTAGGAGCGGCGGAAGCATGTGGCGGTTGGCTGCTTGCTGAATGCAACGCTCCTTGATGCAGATCAGAGCCTTTTTTTCACTTCACTGAACCTCATGGCAACGTCGTTTTCCTCCTGGAAACATGCTATTCAAATCCAACGTGCCCATTGTCAGTTGGGACTTCTTGGCAGGTGGTGGTAAATGCCAAATACGAAAAATACCCAACTTGCCATATTTATTCACCTAAAAACAAAAAACAAGACTACCCATTTTTGTGTTTTCATTTCTGGCTGAGCAATTATGGTAGGATTCAGACATTCAGCACTTTTCCTTCGAGGTAGGGTGTCCGTACTTTAAATGCTGAGAAAGAAAGAGAAAACTGAGAAGTCCCTCAAGGCTGATTCAAGACAATTTAATGCGTATTTCGTACAGAATAGGTATGTAATAATTACTCCAAATGATGTTCTCTTGTCATGGAAAGAAAAATTCTTCTTCATGTTAAATCTTTGGAGAAATAAGATGAGCTATTCTGAGAACAAGATGAGCCTTGTGCTATAAATTTCTTGGGGGCTTGCTTCAATTTTTTTCAAAGGCAAAAATGATGGGGTCTGCACTTTTCCAACATGCTGATGTTTACAGAAACTTAACCTTCCACATGGGAAAATTTTGGGGTTGCTTTGAAAACAAATTCAACCTTCTTTCTCTTAAAAGCTTTTGTCCAAATGGAAAAAAGTTAGGTGCTTAACCCATTGCCCATTTAGTCCAAAGCTTCAAATATCAATCATTAAAATAGTATTTGACAGAAGGGAAGCCATTACTAATCTAATAAATATCTCACTTTTTAGTTTGATCTTTCCTGATTAATACATACATCTTTTTAAGTAAAGGAATCCAGTCTAAATTTTCTCAGTAGAAAAAGTTATGCTTGATCAAAAAGAATTTGATCTTTGCTAACTCAATTATAAAAGAGTAAAGAATAAAAAGAAAAGTCTCCTTTTGAAAGTGGGAAATGTCCTCACCAGCGACACCTAACTATCCTGTTGGACAGTTGCAGCAGTTGACTTTCCCATAAGCTTGCCTGCAGGCTTAATAACCTTAACAGGCCTGTGCAAATATAAAATCTTCAGCCCTAGTGTTGGATGCCCATTCGGAGAGTAGCTAGTCTATTTAAGCCTAATTATAGCCCAAGCTTTAACCCCAGAAGAAAAGCCTAGTCCATAAACCTTGGTCTATGCCCATAATGCCATGGGCACAACCGAAAAGAACTCCTTATCCTTCCTCTCTTTCTAGGTACGGTTCTTTATCCATCCTTTGAATATGCATGTGCCATGGCTTTTCTTCTTGTTTCAGGTGATTTAGATTGACATTCTTAACTTCCAACTTTTGTTTGCAAGGAAAGAGAAAAATTCCAACCTTTGTTTTTCCCTTTATAACTATCAACTAATTGATAGTCAATTATTGAGTTAAATGCATTTTTTTGTCAACTTTCAATCCGGTTGGACTACTGTGAACTCGGTTAAACAGGTCATTGAACATTTAAAGAGATTGTTGTGCTACC